CTTAGTATTGAGATAAGAAATAAGTTTTTTTTTTATTATATCAGTGATAAAAAATATATAAGTACTAAATAAAGAGTTTATAAGGATTCACTTAATTCATGTAACACCGCATCGAAGTAGATCTCTATAACATTAATAAACTACTTTAAGACGCTCGCTTGAATAAATTTGCCTTTACTATATAATTACTGCCTCGAATATATTTCATTAAAGTTCTTTGAATATACATTTGTGTAAATGGTATAAAAGAAAATTATACTAAATTGCTACTTAAACTTTCACATAACTGGTACTGTAAATACTTTTAATATTTCAAATTAAGGTGATCAATTAACTATGGCTAGGTTATTAGTAAACAGGTAAAACTTATGTAGAACTGCAGGTTAAATTATTGGTAAATTACAAGTTCTATGTCTATATATATTTATATATAAGGTTCAATAATTGGTTACATACCATTGTTTTGGAAGACAGCCAACAAAACTCCAAAGCGTTTTGTTATCTGAACATAGCAGCGTTCTATTACTATGAACTAGAATTTTCTTGTTATTCCCTTTAGACGTGTTCCTTTTTTTTCTATCCAGCCTGTCGTAGTTATTATTATTATTTTATAAGAAGAAATCTTAATTAACTCATACAATAAAATACATATTTTAACTTGCTTCTATTAAAGAATTAAATGGAACTTGTTGGAAAACAAAGAAAAAATCTTACATAGTATCTAATATCGAACTAGTGCCACTAGATAGTCATTTCATCCTCCCAATCTCTTTGAACAGCGAAGCAGTTAGAATTGGAATGGGCGACAAATATATTGGATTTTACCAAATGGTAATATGAGTGTCAGTAAAATAGAGTGTTAAAGACTAACTTTTGTTTTTAAAATATTGTATTGAAATTACTATCAATTAGAGATTTCATTTTTTCATTGTACAATTAATCAAATATGACTGCTTTTTGTTTTCATTCAACCTATTTTATATCTTGCTTGTGTTAAAGATTTTAGTCGGTCCAAAATAGTAATTTTAAGGGATAGCTTAGCTATTATATTACATATATTACATAGCGAAAAATAAATTAAAATCTTAACATGTTCTGAATGATCAGACCACTAGCTTTCCGCCCGCGTCGAGTTCGGTTATATTGCGTTTCCAAAAGAACTTTCCAAAATTCTGGGATAAAAACTATCCTATGTTCTCTCTGAAGGTCAACTCTATCTCTGTATCAATATTTAATTAAAATCAGTTCAGTGGTTTAGGCGTGAAAGCGTAACAGACAGACAGACAAACAGAGTTACTTTCGAATTTATAAAGTAGCCTATATATTATTCCTTGACGTCAGCTTCCTGTATACAAAATTTTATCAAAATCGGTTAAGCCGTTTGAGCGTGAAGAGTAGTAGTAGTCTAGACATAAATATTGTTACAAATTAAAAATATATTTTTTATTGCCAAATAACATTTATTACTTTTACAGTATGTAAGTTTAATACATGTGTCCATTGGCTGCAATACAGTCCTTTAACCGTTGAGGCAGGTTATTTAGTTAGTTTCCACGGGAAAATTCTTCACTGCCAATAGTATGAACTGTTTTAGGGAGTTCAAATTATCATGGCGTTTAGAGTAAGCCCTACTCTCTAAAACTGACCATAAATCATAATCCAGCGGATTAAGATCGGGACTAGACGAAGGTCAGTGTTCAGCTCTTATGAAGTTGGTAACGTTCGTTTCCAACCAAGACTGCGTGGACCGGTCTTTATGACTTTGCTGGAAAACCCTTGCTGGTTATTGAACATGGCGTTCTTAAGGGGCTTAACAACCTTCTTAAGAATGGTATTTTGATACACTTGTGCCAAAAAAGTATAGCTCATGCTCTCCTTCATAGCTGACACCCCTCCAAACCATCACCGAAGTCGGATAGTGCCCACGTTGCACTCTGTCGACTAATAGGGAAAGCTTCCTTAGAGCTTTGAGTACAAATAAGATCATTTTGTTTGATAAAATGTTTCTCAATTGTAAAAATTTTTTCATCCGTAAACAAAATTTTTGTGTGACCTCTCTTCGCGTACTACATATATTGTGTATTGCGTTTATACTTCATCACCCTTATATTAGTTTAAATTATCATTTAAAAAATATCCAGTGCGGGTCTTATAGGCTGCAGGTCCTAAGTCATCTTTTAAAATACACGACATGGTTCTAGATGCTAACTTCATCTCCCGAGATAAAATATAACTAAAAAAATGACGGATTCCAAATTCAAATGTAATATTTTCTTTATTTTTAATTGTAACAGTATTTATGGCCGGACTATATGTACATATGCCGGACCCATTCTATTCATATTTCTAGTAAAATATAAAGAATAATTTTAATGTAAACATAATTTATTACAAAGTATTAACATAACAAATTTTATATTTATACAAATATGTATATAAAGTTCATGTAACTTATAGATTTGATGTAGTTCCATTGAGATTTCATAGTAAGAAAAATATTATTTTCATGCTGAAAAATAAGAAAAATAAGTATTAAAAAATCACATCATATTTAAATTATATGTATATTATAAAATATTTCCGTCTTACCTTTAGGTGCTGTAAAGAGAAAAAAAATATGTCAATAAAAAAATATTAATTATCATTCAATTACTATAGAACTATTGTCAAGTTTCTAATTCCAATAACAAAACAAAGTGACAGTGACTGTTGCAAATTCACAATTATTTATGAGATAGTATTATTTTACTGTAATATAATGGCATAAAAAAATGTACTCGTACCTCATAACAGATTTGGAGAAAAAGTGTCTCCCTTGTTTTTCTTTTCAGATACTTAATAAAAAAATAAGTCAAAAATTTATATAAAAAAATTACCTTCGGCCGCTGGTGTAGCAGGTGCCTCTCCTTCCTGTGAAGTTATGATAAATTTTAGATCAATTAACAAGTAGGAAATCTATAACAAAAATTTATTTGTTATTCTCAAAGCTATAGATGCTTGAGATGTAGAGACAATGTTGATGCAAAACACAAGAAGCCACTCATTAATTGGCAATACGACGAAGCTTAGTTTAAAAATCTCTATGTTACTACAATAATTTTCTCTGACACGTTAGTCCATCGCTAAAACTATTTTTAGTTAATGGCGGTAATCTTATTTTTGGGTAATCTTTTATAGCATTTCAAATTATTATTTTATTATAGCGTTATGAAAGTGCTGAGCCAAATCTTGTAACTTCTATTCTTTCGAATGAACCTAATTTTTTCATAAATGTTTTAGATTAATTCTTAATTAACAATCACTAAAATATGAATGTTTAATACCCAGTTTGTTTCAATGAAATGATTAAATTTCAAGAGACGTGGCCAATTTAATTCATGAATATTCATTATGTTAAAGTATCGTTTAATTTCGTGATTTATGGTTTTATACAAAGTCTTTTATTGATTCTGTAAATACTGCGGTAAATTGAAGATTGGGTATATGTATATGTATTTCTGTTAATAACCTACCGATATGTAAAACTATTGTCTTATACCCAACTAATGGAGCATAACTTAAAATGGGGTATTGCAAACTCAGTAGATTAATAAAAATAGTCATGCGTGATGTATTTTATATAAAACTTACCATGGGTTGACATAACGACAATAAAAATTCAAACATTTATATCATGTTTTAGAATTGTCTAAAGGTAATACATATGTTTTAACGATAGCCAATTTTCTTATTAGTGTATTTCAGTAAGTTTCTCATAATTTGGAGATAAAAAAACTATAGAAAGCGCTATTGTTTGACTCTCTCTACAAAATCTACTCTAAAATGAAATTATTCGCCACAAAACAGAGTCAACCGGCATAACTCAGCTCAAGTGACGTTTAACGGACCATATATGACGTAGAACCGACGGCTTTTGGGGCAGATTGATTCTAAAGTGGATACCGTAAACCGGTAAATAGTGTAAAACGCTCTATTGGTAGGCAAGACTAGTTAGTCCGGGATATTTTGATGAAACTAATACATATTTTCGGATTTACTACGCGTTTTTATTTTTAACTATAAACTACATACTCCCGACGTTTTGACTGAAGTCAGCAGTGTGTGAACATGCATTGGAAAAACCACTCCATTACATTAGATTTGATATACTCGCTCGTGAAAACAGATATATACCAAGGTTAATCCGCGAGACTATTGATATTAATAATACCTCCAGCTAACTGTAAAACTACGGGAGAAGCCTATCAGTCTAGAAGTAGTGAAATTAAAGCTGGCAATGATATTAGAATTCTTCTGTTTAACTTTTTTTAAATATAAGTGGATAAACTTTTAGATTACTGTTATTGTTTATATTACCCATCACTTTCCTATGTTTCTTAAATTTTACTATCATTTTACTTATACTTACCGGTTGTAGAGAGTCCCGATAGCAAATTACTTATACTTTAAGGAACAAACACTAAGGGAAAAACCATACTACACATACACATATTAATCAAAGGTTTAGAATATAACAATAATGATTAAATAAGTTGTTTTTTTTTAAGAAATTAAATCATTAAATCAAGTATAAAGATTTTTGTGTAAGACTATTTAAAGGAAATGTCTTCTTATAAAAAATAATACTGTTTGATATTACAAAATAGGAAGACACAAAGGTATTTTCATGATCGATGTAGTTTCATTTTATTAACGACATAATTAAATTACAACCCTTCAAACAACAAATATGAGTGAGGATAATGGTGCAGGATAATTATAGGTACACAAGGTAAATGACGTAATCACATGTAATTTAATACAGAATTTAAATTTATTAAAGTATTATTAGCTTACAAACATTATTTTAATAAATAATTATATTTGTTTTGGTATCAGAGGTGTTTCAATATAATGGAGGAATATGATCGGGGATTCTCCAAAAACGGAAGATACGATTAAGTGTGACTTCAAGTCGGGATATTAAGTCACAAACAGTTTTTTGTTTTTGGGGAAACACTTCATGCCTCAACCTCCTCCTCCTTTACCTTCTGATCGCCTGGCTTGCCCTTGGACCAGTCTGGTTTTTTCTGTGGAAACAAAACATTAGTGAGACAAGATTCATATATTCATATATTCATCGACAGCAACAAACTATTCAATCAAATTCAAATACAAGCTGTCAACGAAAGATTTAACGCCGTCGCTTACACGCATCAATAACAACTCAAACTTCCAATGTACACAGCCTTATTGTGTTTTATTTGTTGCATAGAGAGTATAGAAACACAATTTGGCTGTTTACAAGAATCGGAAGATTTTATGTACAAAAACTTAACTATTTAAGCCGCATCACAATAAGTTGCAGGACAACCCGAATATATAAAAATAAAAAGGAAAAGTATTATACAAGGTATATGTTTTAATACAACTGAGTGCGACACTTTTTATGTACCTGAACTATTAATAGTGAAAACATATTATTTATCGAATTACAGATTGGGAAAAGCCACTTGAATTTCAATAAATGATTTAGATTTTATATGGCCATGTAAGATGAATTACACAAAAAAAATCTTTATTAAAAAATATATACACCCCAATTTTTATGATATAAAAAATAATAAGTTAAATAACTGGTCATAATTTGTTTTCACTTCTGAACTTAAATAATCACTGCAATTTTCAGTTATTCTATTCTATAGTGCTTTGTGCATTCGTCTAATGGGACGTGATATTAAACAGGTAAAATTTCTTAAAATATAATATACATATGGTAACAATGAATTGAACATGGAGATAAATAAAAACATAACTTATCTGAATCACTTGTTTTATGATTGAAGAAAGTCTTAATGCTTTCATTACACAAAATGGAGATATACCTTTGAAGGTTTATGAGATGTTTAGAAATAGATAGAAGAATACAGCCAATAGAATTAAAGAATGAAGTAATAAATCAATACATCGTTTGAGATGCCTTAAAGATGGAGACACAGTTTATGGGGAAAGCCTAAACCAATCTATATAGTAAGTATAATTTGAAGTAGGTAATCAGAGATACTGTTAACTATCTGAAGAATTATTTCTATATTAACTTAGTTAATTAAAGTTATATATAGAAACATATATAGGTGACATATTCAAATAGTTAACAAATAAATACAACGATATGTACAAGAAATTTTGAAAAAATATCATATCGACACACGATAGAATTCAATACACTCCAATAAAAGAAAACTCATAAAGTGCATTTTTCACTAGCTCCAGAGATATTTCAGAAACTTGACAATCATAGATGATATTGTCAATATAATATCAAATATATGAATATCAAACAGCCAATTACCATTATGAATGGTTTGATCTAAGATGTGCTACATGCTACTCGTATTCTCTAAACAAAACGTTTTACTTTTACTGTCGTGTTACCTTCGCGGGAGCAGGGGCCTGTAAATATTATGGATTTTTAAATATGTTTCGCCTAAAATCACGTAGGACGTCCTGTTAAGAAATATCAAATTACACAAAAATATCTTAAGAAAATGTGAATGTTCTTATGCTGAAATAAATAATTAAAATGATATATTATGTTGTTAGTAAAGGATGTGACAAGATTAGCAAGATGAGAATCCTGAATGAATGCAGAGTCAGGTCAATATGCGAAGCTGTGATTGTTTGATATTAAAGTTGTCCGCTTAAGCTTTGGAGTTCCAATTCAAACACAAGTAACAAAGGGAAGCTTATGTACGCGCTCATAAATCGTCTCACCTCGTCTCCCTGAATATGGGATTCATGGGATATTTTAAACAACTACCAAAATAATTACAAAAAGTTTATTTAAATATATTGATAATTAAAATTAAACAATTTATCCGGGATATGATGGAAAATGGGTAGAAGGTAATGACGCTAAAATCACTTCTTTCCGATAGCCCAATCAGCTTTCTCTGCCTTCTTGGCCTGTTGGATAGGATCAACAATTGTATTTCATTGTTTAAACTATTCTTAGATTCTATGAATTCTCTACATTTAATACTAAATTCTATCATCTGATGTCCTTCAGATTAAAGGAAAGAGGTTAGTATCTATCTAATACCTAAGTATATGTAACAGCTGAAAATGAATTATTCATATTCATATATACTAAAATTAAAATTAAAACCTACTACATGATCTCTATATAGTAAAACTATATATAAATAACAGAAAAATGTGTTAATAAGCTAAAATAAAAATATAGAATAGAAAATATTGATGATAATCGAATTATAAAAATAGATTTCATTAATTGATTAAAATAGTAATAATTAAATGAAATACATATAGAAATTACCTCTTTGTCTTCTTCTTCAAGGGTGAATTCCTTCTTTTTGACGACCTTCAATTGGTTACGGAAATTGAACTCAGCGGCCTTCTTCTGAAGCTTAGCGAATTTGTTCTCGTACTTTGACACCTTCTTCAGTGTTGGTTTAACGCTGGTATTATAATTAAAAATTAAATAATGTTTATAGATATTTTTATTTGATGCACAGTAAGAAGGAACGAGTAATCGTATCAAATCTATTAAGCCCTAATATATATCAACCTTTAATATATCTTTATTAAAAAGATGGGATGACCAAAAATCTATATTTTTTTTTTATATAAGAGGTTTTCTTATTAATATTACCCGCAAACATAAAAAATTCGTGAAACCCACTAGTAATGCAAAATTATTTTGAAATCAATAGGAATTAGTCCCCGAAATTTCATTACTTCCCAAGAATGCTATTGAATCGTCTGAATAGTTAACAATAAATGTAGGGTAGGAAAGACATTATTAAATTGGTATACCTTTTCCGATTTTGCCTTATTTTGCATAAACTAAATGTATAAATTATATTCAACATCATAAAGATTATATATACAAAGCTAAAAAAATGTATTTACTTTTACTGTTATTCACATAATACAGAAATCGTTTATTATTGCAAATAATGAAAATATTTCTTTCAAAGTGAGAACATTCAACAAAAGTAAATGAAGCAAAGAAATAAAATATTTAATTGATACTTACAACTTGCCTCTGAGGTCATTTACTTGAGAGTTCAGGTCTGCAATCTAATAATTTGCAAAAAGTTTATTAATATTATATAGAAGATATGTTTTAAAATATAATAAAAACAACATACAAAACATCTAAATTGATGTATGGGAAGTAGATGTGAAAGAGGAAAATTAAAAAAATTATACAAGTTCCGTAATATTTGAGGAAAAAAATACAAAAGAAATCTAGACAAGTTTAAAACTAAGGTGAAAATAGTCTAAATAAATCATTATAAAAATAGATGAAAATAGGTTTACATAGATTGAGAGGAAAACACTTAAAGCATATAAAGAATAGTAGCAAAACTAACATGCAGTTGACTTAAAATAAACAAGAAACAAAACAAAGCAGTGGTATTGAGAGAGAAAAAACAACAAAAGAATAAAATTATTATGATAATAGCACAGAATAAGATAGATAGAGAACTGAGCGTAGATTAGGCAGTGTTATTTGCGAGCTGTAGAATAGTTTTACTATGTAAGTATATACATCAATAACATATATATGTATGTATATATTATATTGAAACCAATTTGTTGTATGCCTGTGCTCTTCACCTAAAATGTATCTTACTCCTGTTTCCATCTGCTTTATTACGTGCATAACCTATAATTTGCGATGTGGTAACTGGTCATTTACAGCACCTGTCGCCTAATATAATAAACTACCAACCACATGTGCGGATATAATACATGTGCAAATAAGAATAGCGCTGCAATATTTCACATCTTTGTATGTGCTGATTCACGGAGAATTTAAAAAAAATTAAATTAACTTCAATAAACAGTCGTTATTTATTAACCAAACTTAAAAATCTGTATAAATATAATATGTTTTGATAATAATTAATCTCAAAGCAGTAATATATTGAGCGCTACGTATATTCGTTTACTTTAATGTACATATTATGTATTTTACACATAAATTAACACATCAATATACTAATTACGTTTGTCGCAAGTGTGTGTTGCATTTTGACGGTGCAAAATCGATCAACCTTAACATGTGAGTATAAATTTTGGGTGATTTTGAATTGAATGTGAACACCGTTACTCAAAAGTATTACGAACATGTACCTAATTGAGAGCACCAACTTTATAGATTCGCTAGGAAAGGAAGGGAAATCATAAACCACAGCATGGCACTTTCAATTTTGTTAACACTCGCTGACCAACAATTGCATACGGATCCCACAAATGATCACATATATCTTAACAACCGAACACCCAAACCAATCGCGCGTAATGACACGACATACATGAAATATTGGAGATTTGGAACAAGAAGTTTCACTTACACTTACATGCACTTGCGTGTGCTAATAAAGGAACTGATCTATAGTTCCAATTTATTAACGGTAATCTACTACTACTTGTCATAAAAAGAGAAAATTCAGTAGGGCCATTAAGTTCGCCACCACACATGAAGCGTTAAACGGTCAAATGCAGAGACGGTTGGCAGGTACTCGATTAAGGCTCCAGCTTCCAGCAGTATAAAATAATTAAAGTGCCATACTATCAGGAATATATTAATCAGGATCTGAAGCTCTTTGTTACTCATTAATACTTTCGTAAGTCATGCAATAGCAATTTTATAACCACCGAAATAATAACATTTATCCGATAATGTTGAAATCATTATATTGTTATCACTACCCTTTCAAAAATAAAAGTTTTCTTTACTTAGAATTTGCATAATTAGATTTCATGAATCAATGATGACTTGATAAATGTTATGCGACATGCAATATTAGCGTTAGCCCTAAATAATGAATGACTGCAGTGTTCACTACGCCGATGACTTTAAAATGCGTTAGTGTAGTTAACCGTGTAAGCTCATTGTCAGATGAAGCCGCCCCTGAGGCGGCAGGGATCGATTTTGCACCTCTCCCATTACCATGGCTGGCAAACCCAAGCCGTGAGGAGTCCCCGCGACAACCCTCTTTTTATATGACCAGGTACACACCTGATCTCCGAGTACACCACTAACCCGCGCTTCGACCGTTATTTACAATCCAACAGCAAAACAACCGAAAACTTACAAAGCATTATATCAATGTGTAAAAACGAATTGTCACACGCGCACGTTTGTTACATTATCCATGACTGTGATATTCACAATGGTCATAAAGTATTGGTCAATACCTCATAATCTCTTTTCCTGACTTCGTGTTCCAAATCCCACTTCTGGCCCTCACACACATACATGCGGTCATAATACTCCTGTATTATACTCTTGAGCTTTTCTATAGAAAAAGGAAAGATAGATTATTTAGCCGGCACAATGAGCATGGGCATCTGTGTAAGTGACCTGCGATTGTCGATTGAGCGACGTGTGCATGTGTGCGGTGAGCCGTAAAACTATCATATCAAAGTCGTAAGAAAACTAAATCAATATCAACTCATATCACGTCATATGCATTCCCAATCCTAAAATGCAGTTTACCTCCATTTTCTTAATTTCAATTGCTCGTTCTAGTTCAAATTTATCCCCCTCAAGGTTGTATATCCTATGCCAATACATTTGACATATCGTCTGCAGTTCCGCTAAAGAAAAACAATTATATTTTAAAGTAAAATAAAATTTTGAAAATGTCTGTTTTTTTCCTTTTAGATTTCGTGAGTGTAGGTCCTATACGTCTGGATATGGAAGCGCAAGCGAAGCTACATGATAAATATAAATGGGCATCTGATGGACTATTTGCAATAATATTATTTAACTGTTAACTAAATTAAGGCGACACTTCTACATCAATGTATAGAACGGAACGATGTTATTTCAGCGAATTCAAATCTATATTTGTTATCAAAATTAGTCAAAATTATTCAATACTTTTAGCTTCGTAATTTATACATTATGAGTTCGCTGCAAAAACAAAACAGTATTTTCTAGTCACATTTTCGGCATGAACTACTAAAACGCAGAGCGTAGCATAAATTGCCTATTGTCCAAAGCAGATCAGACCTCAAATGCTCTGCGGGCAACTTCCATCTCGTGATCGTACTTCTCCTCTTCGAGTTTCGCGATACGCTGGTGATAACCGGTAATGATGCTCGTGAGAGCCGCTATAACATCAACCACCAGTTACTCCGCTAATAATATTACCGTAACCTTTCCCTCAGTATCAGTAGAAGAGCGAAGTTATAAAGAATATAAGTAAAAGATAAAACAGAAAATTTATAAAGTAAGGTAGTAATTGGCACGAAAATTCATTGCCTACGTTTTAAAAGAAAAGACTTAACAAAAGGATCAGCAAGGGATCTTATAATCCGATGTTAAAAAATCGAAGGAGAAAGAACACGTCACTTAGCAGCGTTAAATGAAAAAGATTTGTAAGTTTTGTAAGTTTGTCAAGAAAGAGGGCTCCCGGCGAGGCTCATTTAACTACCTCCATATCTTTTCTTTTAACGATGTATTCCAGATCAAACTTTTCATCTTCAAGCTTGCCGATGCGGGTGTGATATTCTTTGCAAACCCTCACAAGAGCATCTACAATGCGAATAATTATATTACAGGGTAAATGTGTGGAAATTACAAATGTCCGTTAATCGCCTTCTTGTACAGTGTATAAGGATCCTATTTACATCGCATATTCGATGTGATGGGGCGAATCCACAAAGTCTATATGCATATATCTATAGCGCTTACCTTCATTTGCATCGTCAACGTTCTTGGGTTTACCGCACCTCTCCTCAATGATACGCCTCCTCTCAGCGGCTTTGCGTTCCTGTTCTTTCTTCAATTCCTCAGCTGCTTTTTTACGCAGGAGCAACTGTAGTCATTAATTTTATTTACATATATAAATGTAGATTAAATAAATATGCCTGTTAATATTAAAAATAATTAAATAATTACTTACCCTAAGTTTCTTCTTTCTCTCGGGAGTCATGAAACCTTTCTTTGCCTTCTTGGCCTTGGAGGCTTCCTCCATGCGCTTGCGCACCTCAGCACGCTTGCGGTCGATCTCGGCCTGTTTGGCCTTCTTTGCCTGGAGATAGTTCGTGTAATAATCATTTTGAAATGTAATGAGTCTTAGCTTTGTAAATGTTTATCGGTAAATCAAAAATGTTCAACTTTATTATTGATACATTACATCATTTATCCTTTATAATGCTACAAAAATAACAAAGTGACTAAATATACATATATGTATGTACGCATAAGTAAGTAATATCGTTATGGCATCGAACCGTACCGTAAAGAACAGTTTTTAAAGTTAAATATTTTGTTAATATACTATATGGTACAGTAAAATGTATGGTAAAAAGTATGGTAAAAAGTATGGTAAAGGTTGCCTGGAAGAGATCGCTGTTTTAGCGATAAGGCCACCTGTTGTACATTTTCTTTTCTTTATGTTACTTCTATTATTTGTCTATATTGGTGTACAATAAAGAGTATATATGTATAAATAAATGGAACAATGACATTCATTCTAAATTCTTATAAATCGTGTTTTTATATGTATTATAATGTTATATGTTTATGTTTGTGTTTCTTAGTTTTTCTTCTTTATCCATGTTCTCCTTCACTTTACCTCCTCGAGACGCTTTTTCTGTAAAAAGAAACGAATAAATTAGTTTTTTGCTTGTTTACTAACAGTTCTATTAATTTGTGTTTAGACTAAAGCATTTTCATCATAATTAATTTCCCAGAATCTAATGTCATTAACGGTTATATGTATAAGGTATACAATAAACGCTTGTTTTGCTCTGGCCTGACTGCGTGAGATAGTGATTTAGCTTATATTAATACATGACAATCCTTATAAAATATTAAAATGCTTTTGATATAAATATTTAACTATATCGTTGATAAACATTATAAAAAATAAGAAACGTAATAATATGTAATTTATGAACAAATTAATTAAAAATATCAAAAAACACCATATCGAATATAAATAATAAAATCTAAAGATTCGTTGGATTTTAAATTTCTTTAAATTTTCAATTCGAATTTCTTTAAAGCATTTCGACTTTTATTATAAGGATTGCGTTGATTAATTATTATAACATATAATATTTTATCATTGTTATAATTTTACTTTGAATAAATATTTACTTTTTAAAAAGAAACATTTTAAAGTTTAATAAATGAGTACATACATATATTGTGTAAGCCTTGTGTGATGTGCATTGAGATCGTTATAGTTACAATTGTAATAAGATATTAAATTAGATATTAAAAGCCATTATTTCGGAGCCTTACAACGGAACCAAAACTTACTTTACTTTACATATAGAATGTTTATTTAGCTCTGTAAAACCTGTGGTTTGTTCGTCATTAATGTATAATTCAAAACAGTTACACAAAATATCATGAAATTCCTGTGTCTCGTTGTGATGATCATTATAAAGAATATTTTTTACAATAAATAAATATATAGATATGTAACTTAAATATTTTTGTATACTAAATAAATGTTAATGAGGTTAGATAATTACCTGAGTCTCGAGAAAATATAGGTATCAATACTGTAGTTGTCATCAGAAAACACGATGAAATCCCACGAAGAACGGCAGGTGATGAGCGGGTGGAATAAAAAAAATATATTCATTTAATATTCAAGATTCCAAAGATAGAATATAGAGAAAATATTTGAATAAAATATATAAAATAAATATTGACATTTTAAAGTATTACTCGTATATACAGGATTATTAAGACTCCATGGATCGTATTATGTACTTAAATGTGAAATATTTAAATATATATATATATATATATATATATATATATATATATATATATATATATATATATATATATATATATATAATAAAGTAAATTGACTTTCATACCTCACTTCGTCATCCGCCATTTTGTGGAACTGTAGTTAGATGTCCTGAAAATCAAGATTTCAAGGTCATCAAGTATTTTTCAAAGAATCTGATGAATATTTAAGCCATTAAAATCTTAATGGTAAAAAAATCAAAGAAAACAAATTTTCTTCAAAACAAATGTTCATATTTACGCCTTATCAATACAATTAATTTCATAACAATTTTAAGTATCATTAAAAAAAAACTGTTCCTCTCAAATAGTTATTTCTTGCTACCATTATCTCACATAAACGTCACATACATATGTTACTTGAAACTTTTTGGATCACTGCCATATACCTGACGCCAATGATATTTGATATTTCCACCAATAACTCTCTCTTTGGTCATTACTTTACTAAAAATAAATGCGAAATATTTAAATCTTGATCTCAAATCTTGGCCTGATTATGATCGAGAAGGTATATTTATTTAACATATCCAGGATTCTTTTAAATAATACCCGTAAGCGTGTTGCTCGGCTAAACTCGTAAGTCATCGGAATATTTCGGCCGCGACTGAAATAGGTTGCCTTGCAATCTTGCGCATCCTAATTTGGTCGCCGGCCACCCGACTTACGTTACAAACTTTTCGAACGCACAGCTGTTTGGGCGTATTAATTTAGAAGGTTTATTAATCTTATGTGTACCAAAAACTTCTCAGTGCTTTTAGAGTAACCAAAACTTTATTCTATTAACGATTTTTAGTCTATTAACGTATTTAGTCTATTAACGAATTTCAAATTTTTGGAAAGAGATGATTATTTTTTCTTTATTGAAAATAAACAAAACAAATTATTTAATATTTTACATTCCTCCAACGCGTATTGAATTACTAAAATTTTAAGCTTTAAAACTAATGATTTATTCATAGTGTAAATGTAATACGTTATATTCATAGATAAATCCCGAATCTGTATCCACTTTATGACGTTATAGCTAAATATATCCATAACGTCCCAAAAATTAAATAAAAAATACAGTTACAGCACTTTATTTATCAAAAAAATATCCAGCACTAAGTCATGCCACTATTATATAGCACTTCACTTATTCACTCAATTAGTTAGTATAATATCACAGAACTCACCTAGCGCAAGATAAAGAAGATGGCCCTACGGATGTTCAGCCAACACGAGTCGCAGTTGCTGACTGGCGGTAGGCGGGCGGCATGGTGCGGCGGGTGATGCGTGGGCGCAGACCAGCCTGCCCCCGCTTCCCCTCACCACAGCCAGCGCCCAGCCAACACCTACTCCTGAAGCTCCCCTGCTTACAGCACAGACATTTTTAGAGCAGTGTCGTTTTGACACCAACACAGAAATAACTAGCAAGCTCTGGCTCGCAAAATCGGATACTTCATAAACAAACGCCAGTCTTTATTGACGATTATAATATTACACAGATTTATATGATGATAGGTTTAATGTTATGGTTTTATGTTACTGAATATATGTGAATAATATATAAAGCCACAACTGTATTTATATTAAATGCAATGGAAATGTTGGACAAAAATTTAAAGTAAAATCAAAGAATTTTGGATAGTCTTTCGAAAGTAATCCTTCCCAAAAACATTGCATTAATCAACATAGTTGTGACAGATAACTGCTAGATGAAATAATTCCAAGAAAATGACAAACAATTTTGAATATATTTCAATCAAGGACTATGTTTTCGTATTTTATAATTTAGCTTATAATAACTTGATAACACTTTACCACTTATGATTAAAACAGTATTTTCAATTGAAAACATATAACTTGAATTTGGGAATCTCTTTGTTGATGTCATTCAACACTTAATAACAACAATATTATGGCCCTATAAGTTATATATCTTTGATGATGATGCTGCTTAATAATATGTTTTTAACCGCAATAAAGATCTGTTACTTTTTTAAATATACTTAACAAATAGTAAGATATATTATTTTAACGACCAAAACGATATTATTTTAATAAATGTCAAGGTCTGGGTATATAATTGTAGTGAATAGTCAACGTTCTTCTTCAAACAGTCCAAGCGCCAACATTAATTTAACGGTAAAGCCGAAGTTACACAACTAACCATTAAACATTTGTTTAGGAAAAGGTAGTTTCTGTAGTACTTGAATACGTGATGAGAATACTAAAATAAAGCTTTATTTGTCAGTTCTCTTATCTCTTGACATCAACTTTTGTATTTTAGCTTGCAAATTTTAAGTACAGAATCTATTGTTTCATTACCAATAGTACTTTAAATCTGTACAAAAAATGATATTTTTTACTTTGCTTTACTCTCTTCAAATTATTACTAATATGAACCCTTTAGTTGGTTCTGGTTTATAAAGAATTAAATTTGAAAGAATTTGTTGCCCTATCACCATCTTGATCTATTAAAATAAAATTTCATTAAAACCGAATAAAATTAAAATTTGAAAAAGAACGTGTAAAATTCTTTGAGACTAAAATATGCAATAACATTATATGATATACCATTTGTCATTTAGATAGTTCGTCAAAATTTCCTTCTACGAGCTTTAGTGCTTATTCAGATCTCTTAAGATTTTTACAGCCTCATATAAATAGAATTTGAGCTCGATTCGAATTCGAGAACTACAATGCTGTAAGAGACGTAAAATTCGAGGGTGACCCTTTTTCACCACATCTCCTGATTAAGGGTACTTAAACAAAAAAATGTAGTATTCTCGATAATTCTTATAAGTCCCTGAGTTTGAAACTTTTGTCGTTATTTAAAAAAAATGATAACAATTTCTTTCTGCTTGTAGTGATTATGATATATTTGTAATCTGTAAAAAGTTTTTTTTCATAGATAAACTTAAAATATATTCAATAAATAGAAAAATAAATATGTATTTAGTTTCTCCTCTTAAAAAACAAATACAAGAAATATACTTATTGTATGACATGATATGACAAAGTATGTAATTATATAATAAATGCTTAAACATATTTTCTTATTGTCGTCATATTCTATTATACCTATTCTATTCTCATCTTAATTTAAATCTAATAATTTAAGTGTTATCTTAGTCATACATTATCTTAAACCTGACCAGCTAATAGAAGTATCAAGAGTTATACCGAGACCTTTACAATGAATTTTTAGGCATGGGAATGTATTTTGGTCCTTCGTGTATTTTAACGATTGGCATTGTTCCATACAAACGAACAAATTCGTATTTGTTAAGTACATTTCAATTTACTATTTGATAATAAATAAAACGAAAGTATAACACTTATTTTATATGAAATTTTTTCATTTTTACCATTATTGTGTTTTTCGTGTGTTTATTTTATATTTTCTGGTAATCTGTCACGTTCAGTAGAAAAACGTCCAGCTATAACATAACAATAAGAAAAGAACAGTGGCGTACATATATTAAAACTAAGTGACATTCATCTCTTAAATTGTAAAGGAACGATGCTACGAGTCAATCGACAAGGCATCGCATACCGAAAATCTAACCGTAAGCCCTTATAAATATTACATGAACTCTGTTCTGTTTAAAGATTTACGAGTAAGTAGTGGAAAGAGAAAAATTGGAACGTATAAAGAAATGTGAAATGATAAAATTTATTTGATTGTAAAGCAACAGTGTTAAAAATAGGTTAAGAAAGTTAATTATCGAGTCATGGATTCCTTTAGGACCTCTTCTTTTAGATTAATTTGTTCCTTTATGAAGTTTTTACTCCTTATTGTGTCTGTGATATGATTGAAGATGATTATTATTGAATGTGTTTTTTCGATTTGTTTACGCAGACTCTAGAAGAAAGTTACTAATATTATGTTTACAACTATGTATAATATAACCCTATTTAATTAATGTTTGTTTTGTTTTCTTTTTCTGTTTATGAATTTCATAACATAAGCTTTAAGAAAATCTGCAGAAAATTAAATTCGCGGAAATAAAAAAACAATAAATGTATGTGCATATATGACATTTTACGTTAATTACTAATGAACAAAATGTTTTTTTTTTTTCATAAAAGAAAAAACTTAGGACATACAAATATGTGCTTTTAACAAGACATATTTACATCTTTTCTAAAACTTATGTATATCGTATTTACTAATCAAAACTTTTTTTTATAGAATAAACAAATTCTGAATCTGATTCATCTTAAGGATATTTTAACTTTATATTATTTGACATGTCAAAAATACTATAAAGCAAAAATATTATCAACCACTAAAAATCTGTTCTATACTTTACCTTGTTATATATAAATAATATTTGATTTATTACTCAAGCTAGAGCCAAATTAATTTTAAATCTGAAGAAATTGTTGGCTTAATAGCAAAAGAAAGTGCGTTTTAATAGTGGATCAACGCTTGGCAGTCGGTGCTTCAGCTTCACGAAGAGACAACAAAGTAATTGGAAATACCACTCATTACATTTTGACTCTTACCGTATTGTAGGAAAATGATTTGACAATATGTATTGAATATATGAGTATTACAAACAATAGACTTTCCGAATATATTTAAATTGTTAAACTTTTTAAATACTTCAAGCCTCAGTAAATTAGTGTTGTTTTAAACAAAACATATTTAACTTGAAGTATGTTCATTTTTTCTCCATATACATCATGAGCTATTCGTATGCTCCTATCAAATTATGCTTACTATAATATTATTATTTTTTATGCTTTTTTGTTACAAATTTAGAAAGCCATTTATCCGAACACATCAGATATTCTAAATTCTAACGAGATGCGAAACGTACGTTGTCCGAAACTTTCAGAGTATTCAGCATATTTCCCACATTCAAATTTTTGATGCGTTGTGAGAATTAAATAAAAAAATTTTGCTTGTCAAGTAATTAAAGTTCAACATATATTTATATTGTATATCTCCTTTATTCATATAGTAACTATCAAGATTTGTGTATCATATAACATATCGCTGAAATACTACATATTTATACTAGTTAAAGTGCATGAAAGTATATAATCTCATTTTTTTCTAAAGTATATAACAATACAATGAATTAAAAGATGTGTAATAATGTTTTCATATATTTTAATATGTGCTCTGTGTAAAACAGAAACTATCTCGGGACGACCTCATTCTCTAACCCGTAGCTATTTCTGGCGTCACGGAGCGAAATTAAATAGTTTTTGTAACTCGCCCACCTTCGTAATTACGCGTACTGGTTACAGAATTCATACCACATTGTCCTTTCCATACGTTCATTGAACTGAATTTATTTCATCCAAACACAATCAAGCAAATAGGATAAACAATTTCTCTTAAAATAAAAATGATAGAACAAATTCTCCTAACATACTATTAACACGATAAAACAAAGTTTATTATTAGCACACACAATTCTTGCTTCGGAACAACGGCTTGTCTTTATAAATAAAATGATATCTCCTAAAACCAGCAGCGAAATATCTTAACGCTTCCATTGTATCAAATTACACCGAGATCTTCTAACTCCAGTATATTTACCAGGGAAAATTTATTAGAATCCCAATTGGGTACGCAGCTAGTTCATATTTCTTAAACGAGCTTGTATACACAAAACAAAGCATTAGAATGTATTACTTATTTAAACTTGAATTATAACGAGATCTTCCTCGAGACAGAAATCATTCTCATCATATGATTAATAAACGGAGATCAAAATATTCTATTTAGTTATTTGATGTTTAAAATTTAAGAACACCATAATAGTATTTAAAATAGACCTTGTAACGTATATGTAAGACCGATACAAAATATGGTTGTAATTTTATACTTTATATTTAAAAAATATCTGTTATGTACACACATATAATTTAAATAAAATAATGCATTTTAGGATTAAAAGAAAAGACAAATATGTATATTTTAATAACTATATATAGTTCAATAGACAGCAAAAAAATTAATGTGGCTAATATCCAGCAGTGATAATATTTCTCCTCTCATCCTACTAAGTTCTAACTGTGCAAATACTATGTTATAAACTATTAACAAAAACAAACGAAACTCTGAACTGATTACTTCGTGTAATATACATTTTAATGTAGCCACTCGTAGGTAATCTAAGATATATAAAAATATTCTTTAGCGATAAAAATTGCTATCAAAATTAATTTGGAAAATGCTTTAAACGCCAACTAAAAAACAAAAATTATATTATTTTGTTATACGTGAATCTAGAGCCAGACATTGCCAGAAATGAATCTAATTAACTATTTTCTTACAATTATTTATTATTCTGATTTAAAAGTTCATTAAATGCAAACACGCTTTTATAGTAACGCTCCCTACTGTTTTAATTCCGAGTTAATTGAAACAGCGCCATCTAGTTGCAAATAGTAGAAACATTTGATTATAGTATTATTAAGAGGATGTCTTATAATGGAATGGATCGTGA